GGGAGAGTATTACCATTTTCAATAGTGACTTCTTCGGGTATAGTGTATTATGAATGGTAGCTTAAGTTGTCCATATTTATTGTATTATGAATGGTAGCTTAAGTTGTCTATATTTGTTGTGAGATGATGTGTAGCCCTCAAATCAATAATCCAAGACATATATGATAACTATCTAGTAGTAGCAATAAGGCCAATAGGTTTGAACTCGAGAGGTCGTCGAAAGCCGAGCTTTGGTTTGGAGGAGGGGACACTATAGTGCAAGATGGATATGCCCACAACAATTGTGGCATATAATGGTATTGTTGTTTGTAGCTGAATGGTCCGGAGATAAAGTAGAAGAAGTGAAAAAAGAAGAATGGCATTATGAATTACCAAGTATAAAGACCGAGATTGCACTAATTACGACCCTACTGGCCATAACCACTCGTCGTGAAAAGAGCTAACACCATGAGTAGAAAAGTGAGCGAGATGAGGCATTTTCTCTCGATAAATTATAAAACTATTATATGTATTAAAAGTATTTTATTGGTAAATAGTAAACATATTGTCTCATGTTAAAAAAATAAAAAAATAATTCCTCCCATAAAAATTAAAGAATTCTACTCAATCTACAAAACAAAAAAAAAATATTAAATTTTTTTTTTTTTTTTGCATAATAGTACAAAATATATGTCAATATGTAATTCAACTCTATCTCTAATTAAGAAAAAGACTAAAACATGAGTATAGTTTCTAAAAAATAGTTTAATTTTGTTTTTCTGTTTTATGGCTATTTATACATCAAAGAGAATATTAAATAATATAAATAACCATCTTAAATCACACTTAGCCGACGTAGTACTTTATTTGAAATTTATTTTGACTATCAAAACTCTAACAATACTTACAAATAGATCAACCAATGCTAACAACTAAAATATAAAAAATCATAAAAATTATATTAAAATTTATTAAACTATTAAATCAAATTCATAGTTTTTTATATGGGATCTTGGTTGTTTTTTTTATGTTATCTTTGACTCCTTAGACAAAAAAATTGATAAATGTTTTGTTATTCTTTTTATAATTACTGCTAAAGGCTAAAACATCAATATAATTGCTAATAAATTTTTCGTTTGTTTGTTTATACATCACATACAACCTTAAATAATATAAAATAAAATTTTAAATCACCTCTTAACTCTGTATAATTCATTTATCCGACACTTTATTTTGACTACCTAAACTCTAAAAATGCTTTTTTTAAAAAAAAACCCTATGGTACATGATAAATTTTATGAGATAAAATAAAGTTGGAGGGAGACCGAAAATTCAGTGCCTTATCCTCCATAAAAGTGGCAAAACATGCTAGGTAACAACCAATCCAAGCAAGCTAGAATAAGGAACAAGTATCAAAACAAGGACATACCCCTCACTCGATACTACAAAACTATAATCTTCTAAAAACATAAATATCGTTACAACCTCTGTCATAATCATTTTTAATCGTCCAATGAATTTTTATTTTTATACAAAATTCCAAAAAAAAATTCAAAAATTGAATGTTGTATAGTTTCTTGATTTTTCCATGATTTTAGGTATTTTTATAAAATTTTAAGATTATCATCTAATTTTAATAAAATAAAATAAAATAAAATAAAATAAATAGAGAAGACAGAAAAGAAAAAAAATTGAAAAGATGATTTGGGATTCAATTAAAAAAGATGTGAGAGGTGAGGACCAAATAACAACCAATTAAAAGTAGAATTGAAAGAGAATAAAAAATCAAGGGCCTTAATTAAATATTAATTTGGATGGAATGAAAAGAAATTAAAAAAAAGACTAAATAATTTCAATTAGAGTGTGATTGATGAGAAAATAATGAGACGTTGAACAAAATTGAAAAAAGTGAAAGAATGGAGGATTAAGCCGAATTTTACCCACAATCCTAAAAAACTCACTATAAAAATCCTCTTTTTCTCAAGGGGCTGCCACTATTCACCCTTCCAAAAAAATACCTTAGAGGGAGGTCATTCATCTTTTAGAGAAAGAATCCTAAAGAGAAGAAAAGAAAAACTCTCTCCGCTTATCTCTCCGACAAAACCACCACCATCAACCATAAAATAAAATAAAATAAAATAAAATCTTCCGCTCATCATCTATGGCCACCATAATTTAAGCCAAACAAAACCCTTAAATCATCCCTTAAACCCTAAACCAAAATTTTGTATTAGTTGTTTCAAAATTTAATTATTTGGTCTAGTTTTTTATTTTATTTTAATATGAAAATTTTAGGATTTGTAAATATACTTATCCTTTACTTTTTTTTTTTTTTAAATTTAGGAGTCCATTTTCTATTTATAATTTATTTATTATTCTGTTGTTATTTCAATTATTAGTATGAGTTGTTTCAAAATTTAATTATTTGGTCTATTGTCTAATTTCATTTAACTCTAAAATTTTTAGGGTTTTCACATACACTTTTTTTTTTATTATTATATTGTGTTTTAAATTTCATAATTTTAGGAGTCTATTTGCTATTTATTTACAATTTATTTATTATTCTGCCTTATTTTTAATTATTAGTGTAGTTTTTTTTAATGGAATTTAATTATTTATCCTAATGTTTAATTTTATTTTAATATGAAACTTTTAGAATATGTTCATATGTTGTTCCTTAGTATGTATTCTGAATTACACGACTCAAGCTCGCCCTCAACCAAGCATGGGCTGGGCTTAGCCCGACCCAAGCCCAAGACGAGGAAGGGAAAGGATGGCACGCCTGACGAAACCCGACCACTAGGCCTAGCCCAATGGGCTTAAAGGGCCCAATAACCCTATATTTAGCCTTCTATTTGGTAAATCAATTTTGAATTTATCTTAAACACTTGTTTTTATTTCATGCCTAATCTAGGTTTAATATTTTGAAATATCGTGTTTGTTTTTATTTACGACAAAATATTTAATTTTTAGATTTTATTTTCATAATTAGATTAGATAATTAGTAGGTGGACAAATCGTCGAGTCTCTTAATTTTTAGGGACTAGTGACAATTCTCCACCAACATATATATATAAAGAAAAAAAAGATGAAAAATGATTAGATAAAAAAGAAGAAGAAAGTAATAAAAAATAAGAAGATAAAAAAAAAAGGAGAAGAAAAAGAGAGAGAGAGAGGGAAAAAAAGGACGAGAAAATGTTTGGTGTAAATTAACAAAGTCTCTTATCTAATTGGAACTTATATCGGTTCAAATCAATCACATTTTAGTAATTAGGTCATTCTCTCACATATCGGTTATATCAAGATTTAAACAAAATTCGATATTAAATTGATGAGATGTCCGACGAAGGGATCCGATGATGGATTTAATATGATGCCACAAAAAAAAAAATTATTTGGCATAAGAAATAAAATTTGAAATTTTGACTTAGGTTCAATCTTTGCAAAAAATAAAAATTTTTAGGAGATAAAATTTAGGACTAAATTAGACGTGATATCTTTCCTAGAAAAGAGTGTTTTTAGGTGATTGATATCTTTCCAAATGTATAATGAACTCCTTACTCAAAAATCTTTGAACCAATATCCATTTTATGTTTCTAATTCTTATAATACTAGATGACGACTTTGAAACTAATAATAACTTATATTTTTAAACAAATAAAAAATTTGAAAAAATAAATTTTAAAATTTTGGGAGTCTCGTGAACGTCGAGTAGCGATATCATTAGTGCCACATCATTTCTAATTTACCACATCATCACTTAATATCCATGTCATGATTCGTCAACACTTAAATGACATCTCATCAATATATTCATGTTATACATGCTACCTCTTCAAATTATTTCACTTAATTGCTGCAATTTTGATCCACACATCCATTTTGAAGAAATAAATTGACATACTCAATTATAAAAATTTCAAAGTACATCCCCTTATTATGTCATTATATCTGTAAAAACTATAATGTTAATATCATCATGTTAAAAATTAATGGAGCCCTATATAAAAATTTATTCATGTCATGTACTTTATATATATATATATATTCAAGATAAAAGGGGGTCAAATTCGGCTTCTTCGTACTCCCTGAAAGTCCTTTAAAAGCTTTTCAAATTATAGCTTATGAGAATACAGTTTGAAAGTAATATATATAAAGGCAAAAGAGATTCATATTCGGCTTCTTTATGGACCCTCAAAGTCCCTTAAACGCTTTTCAAAATATAGTTTACGAAAAATACATGTTTGAAAGTAACATATATATATATATATATATATATATATATATATATATGAGAGTATATTTCGGCTAAGGTCATTAGCATCCTATGCCTTTTTCTTTATTATAAATATATTATAATGGGTGTTGGTTCTAGTGCGTTTTGGTCCATACGGTGCAATTAATGGTTTTTTAGATATGACTTGGGAGTTTGGGTTAGGAGAGATAAAATTTCTCTTTGAATGATGTTTCCCTGATCCTAAGAGGCGGCCGTAGCATAGTTGATATGATAATTGAATTATTGTTATTGACTAACCTTTGTTTTTTAAAGTTATATTGTAACTTAAGTCCAAATTCCGTCTGGTTTGATTGTGTGGTGTGATATAAGACTTGGTTTATGAATCCGGTGTAATGTGGAATATTTAGTTACAGATTACATGGTAGATCGATAGACAAAAAACTAATAAAAGACAGGAATTTGAGTGTTATCACTCGATTTTAAAATTGCCTCATAGGAGATTAGAATGCCTTAATAACAAAACCCATTAGATAGGATTAGAATAACTTGGTATAAAAATGACTGAATAAATGAAAATCCTCGAAGGTTTTTAAGCTGTAACAACTCTCGAACAGTATAAGTGACAGAATGACATTGCTCTTGTTTCCTATCACACAAGCAGTTCCCTTATCTTTCTCAATTATTACATTAACTCTAAACAAAAACTAAATGGTTACTTTAATTTTTTGTGAAGCTTTTTTTTTTTAATCACCTAAATGTTTGTCGGGGGAAATGACATGTACAGTTAATTGTGCAATGGGATTGGCATAAATGCTCCATGAAATCCATATGGGACTCTGCAGGGGAATGTAATTTTGGCAACTGGCTCACTTGTGAAATTCTTTGTGTCAATTATGTAAACCTGAAGGGAAAAAAAGAATAGAATTTTAATGACTAGGGACCACGGTATAGAATTGCAAAAGTAGTTCTACGCGATTGGTTTCCAGCGATAAGATTAACTTACTTTAGATGTATTTGTGTCTTCATCATGAACAAAAGTGATAATCCAGCCATCATCTTCTTCTAGACCACCTTCTTTAGGGACAAAGGCAGCTCCAGTGCAGAAGGTGTTTCCCCCGAATTCATGGTATTCCACCTTTATATGCCCTTCAGATTCCTCCCCTTCCTAGATCACAGAATCATAATTTAGATTAGCATAAATTTATTTATGAAAGTAAAGAAATAATAATGAGATAATAAAACTGGACTAGCTATACGGCAATTTAATTACCTCATTCTCAGTCTCTTCAAAGTACAACTTGGCTAGACCTCCAAATTTTGGCATGCCTAAAACAATCAAATTGCAATCTTACTTAATATGAAATGGTGAGGGTTATAATAAAATTTCAAATATTGAGAATAAAGAATTCGGAATTTATAACTGACCTGATGAAATACTTGCTGGTTCATGAACAGTTTGGGTGAAGCCAAATTTATTTTTTACACCATTGACATTTGGATTGATCATAGGAAACTCTAGGGAGATTTTAGTTCCAGAGAGATTTCTCTCTACAGCCTCTCCCGTTTTCATGTTTAATCTCCATTCGTAAGATCGGCTGAACAATAATTCATCATTGGACGAATATTTAGCATCTTGTACGACAGGCTCTTTACTTCTAAGTCTTCCTGAAACCCATTCAGATTTGTCCAATTCCATACCAAGAGATTCTGATAGGATCGATTCAAGGGACCTGCATCCTCTCACTACAACCTGCTCAAAAAATAAATAAAATTGTTTCATTGCAGTACTGAATTGTGGCTAATTATAATTTAGTTCTAGCTAACAAAAAAAAATGGTGTTTATATGACTTACCTCATCTCCTTCTTCAAAACAATTGATAATGTGAAATGTGCAATTTGGTTCCACCTCAAACCAACGGATTGAGTCGGCATCACCGTACCGGGGCATAATCCCAATTCTTGCATAGTCTTCCTTATCAAACTTTATTAATCTACAAATTGGCATCATAAGCGAGATTAGTAAACTTCACGTAGGTGTAATACTATTTAGATCAGAAGATACTGATAAATTGATCAGAACTAATATCTATACTCACGGGCCTCCCTTGATGAGTCTCATTATGTCTATTGTTAGTGGAAAATCCATGATCACATTATACCTGCAGACCAAAATAATAATAATAATAATAACAAGAAGAAGAAGAAGAAGAAGAAAGGATAATTCTTCTTATATTCAACAGTATACTTCCTTTTTGTTTTTGTTTTGTTTTTCTTTAAATTTAGTTAATTTCTGGTAATGAAAAAACACTTAATTTCGTAGCGATTTCATCACTTACCTCTCTGTAACCCCTATGTCATGACAAAGGGTGCACCTATTCAACTTGAGATCAGCCTTGTGAACTAGTCTTTTTCCATCAGCTTAAAATTGAGTTTGCAAGTAGTTAAAAATTGTTCCCAATTTTTGTAAATACTTTTTTTTTTAATTAGTCAAATGCATGGAAAATGAATATATACCAGAAACAATTCCCACTTCCATGTAAGGTTTTAATGCATCCACTCCAAATACAACCAGCTCTCCAGTGCCTGGTGCTATCTGAAACAAACAAGAAAAAAGATAAGCTGTGTTTTCTTTTCCATGTTGAACATACAAATACTTATATGAGACTTTTTTACAAGCTATTAAAAAAAAAAAAGAAAACCTTTGGGTGGCTGTTGAAAGGTCGATGCCAGGTTCCATTGATATCCCAATCGCGTAAAGTCTGAAGGGAAAAGATGTCAATCTCTTGAGGAAGGTGATTTTCAGAAATTGAGTAGAACTTCCCGGAATGCTCGAAAACATTGGTGTTGCTAAGATCTTTGTTGACCTTCCCAAATCGCAGCTGAAACATACAAAAAATTAACAAGTATTAGAAAACCTTAATCACCAAGTAATTAGGGGAAAAGAAAAAAAAAGAAAAAAAAAGGCACATGTCATATATACCATTTGTTCATACAAATTCGTAGGGTCAAGTTTTGAATAAGTATAAACCATGCGCATAGACTTCCATAATTTTGTGAATTCATCCAACACGTTATCTTTTTGGGAAACAAACAATAAAGATTAATATCATTATGCACCCTTTTCATGAACAAATACTCCTTTTTAGACTTCGCAACTAATTAAAACAAGAAACAAGAAGTCTTTATGACAATTGAATTTTTCCTTTAGAACATTCTATTAAAAAATTTAAATCCTAAGTTTATTAGTTCAAAATCATATATATATATATATATATATATATATATATATATATATATATATATATATATATCAAGAAATGTTTAAGATTAATAATTCTCAAGGAAAAAAATTAAAAACGGAGAGAAGGGAAAGGCTTAGGACTCGTAGGCCCACCATGTTGAACAAGTATGCTAACAAAATGGCGGGCGGACTGCCTTCTATGGCTGGAAGAAATGATGGCTTGTTTCTTTGTTTTTCAATCTTGAACGTTTCGGTTTCAACATATTTATTGTTGTAGCGGACCGTCCAGCTTCCACCATCACCGCCTTTATCAAAGTATAAAGCATGAAGCATTCCTTCTCCTTCAATCCAAATGTGTGCTGTCTTTCCAAATATGGAGTTCGTTGATTTTAGACCACCAAATAGTGGATTTGGTCCTGAAATTATACATATTTTGAACCTATTAGCGGTCTTCAATGGCAGTTGCCCAACGCAAAACAAATAGAGAAAATTTTTGAACAATCAAAAGACTTGACATGACTGTCCAAATTCAATTGTTCAACAATCTAAATTCTCAAGTTGGTTTTATTGAAAAAGTACTGTTTTCATATATTTACAAGCATAGAGACAAAAAGGAAAGTAAGGTATTGGGTTCAAGAAGAGACCATTTCTTATGTAGACACCTTCCGGAAAATCATCTGGAATTTTCCCTTCAATGCTGGTGATAACGAAAGGTTCGTTCAATTCATCAACCGGCCCAAAGTTACTCTGCAAGAACAAAAACAGCCGATTAGCAAATAATTCATCAAATCCTTAATGCTACGTCCTGAAGAGGTGAGTAGTTAATCAAGTTTTTATGGTTTAAACACTACCTGAGAAGGAAGAACGCGCTGGTCAGCAAACTGAAACGTCGAATCCACAAATGCATCTAAAAGTTTGGCTGAAGCGTTCTTGATGCATTTGGGAACATCAAGTTGCACAGGAAGTTGCTGCAACCCTTTCAGTAATGGCTGCTCAAATTCAAAACAAACACATCATTGTATATCCGTTAAATCTTGTTTGATCAAAGAGACCAAGACTGATTACCTTGTAAGAAGAAGGGAACCTAGTCTTAACGCGATCTATGTTTTCCAGGAGAGAAGGCCGACTTTGTGCAGAGCAATTCATTCGGAAAGCCATTTTTGATGTAAATGCCATCTCTCTCTCTGTCTTAACTAGTATTCCCCTCAAGGGTAGCTATTACAATGATGTGTTTGATTCAGTATCTATATATATATTCAACTTCCTAATTAATATTAAAGAATATAGATTTGTATCCTGCGTTTTCTTTTGTCATGTTTTATTAAATTTTAAATTCGTAAATTCAGATTGAATGTACATAATAAAAATAAAAATAATTTAATTAAGAAAAATCATTAGATTCAAAGTTAAAAATTAATTTAAGATTTTTTTCCTTATATGATTTAGAGTGCAGGATATACAGCAGGATAACCACTGCATACCTATAACTACACGCATCTATAAAATCCACATAATAGGGTTTTCCTTATATATATGCTTTTGTTTCTACATGAGAATGCAGGATACTGCGTACCTATAACTACACGCATCATAAGTGTGTATAAGGATGGTATCTTATCCTATATATACATAGAACAATTTTTAGTTTCTTTGCATAGAAATATTGTACCTTATGTAATACTTTTGCCATACAAAACCATTGAACTCCATGTCGAAACATTTTATTTTTAATATTTTTAATTTTAAAAACTATATATCTATCACATATATTAAAAGGATTTTATTGATAATACTAAATATATTATTTTACTTTAAAAAGTTTTTACATGCCAAAATAAAAAGAATTATATCCAATATATTTGATTTCTAGTAAAATTATGGAATATAATTTTTCCTTGTATGCTTTAGTTTCCACTTTAAAGTGTCGGATATTATTGAACGTATATCCCAAGGACAGCTATTATCCGAAAATTTATATAAAAATTTCTAAAAAAGTTTTATCTATTAGTTTAAATTTTTAGATTAAAATGATTTTTTGAAGTGGACTTAGAGCTTTAATGACTATTACAAAGTTGATATAAAACTATTCATGAGGCCTCGGCTTAAGTTTTTAAATTAAAATGATTTTTTGATATGGTATTAAAATCTTAATGCCAAAATGATCAAGGGTTTGAATCTCACCAACGCATTCACTAAAATTAAAGTTAAAATTAAACACACGATAATGGTGGATCAATGCAAGTGCTAAATTTAAAAAACTTTAACTTAAGGAGCTGCCATAAAAAATTTATATAAAGCAATTCTTGAGACTAACCTAACCTAATAAGAGTCTTAAATAGATCCAACTGACCAAGTAGTAATCTTAAAATCTAATCCACTTGACAATTATAAAATATAGATTGTATTAATTGAAAGAAAAAGTGTTAGGAAATTATCATACATCGAATAAATACAAGAAAACAAAGTAATATAAAAGATTGAGAATGAACCACATGCTAAATGACTTTAGCGACGGATTAGAAACAAAATCTAATCCATTGCTAACATTGTGATTACTATTTTTTTAGCGATGAAATTTATTTTTCATCGTTATTTTGTTGATATTCTATCGTTAAATGGTTCCAAATCAAGCGTCTCTAACATCTCATATCCATTGCTAATCATCCTTACTTCTACTTATTTTCGTCTCTAAATAACGACGAATTATGTAGTTGTTATTTTTTAGTCACTAATATCCTCGTAATTCCGTTGCTACTTAGCGATTGAATATCATCCGTCTCTAATTATCATCTCTATTTCATCACTAAATCCGTTGGTATTTTTATTTTATTTTTTTAATGAAATATCGTTTATTGGTAATTTTAATAACAAACAAATATAAACAACTCCTTATTAAAACATACTATATTATTATATAAAATTAAAATTATATAAATTAAAATAGCCTAAACATATAAATGTGTTAAGATGTATAGAAATAATAAAAACTTAAAAAAATAAGAAATTTAGTCATCATTATCACTATCTCCTGCATCATTTTACGCCTATTGGCTATTGAGAGAAACGACTGACCATTGGGCTATGGATGGGTAAGCGGAAGGGACGAGAGGCGACTAAAGGTTCTCTAATAATCCCAAAATGCTTAACAAGCGAGTTTGCATTCTTTTAACTTTACTAGCCTATTGTTGGATGGTAGCCTCCATCCCTTTGATCCGATCTTCGTGCGGGCGAAACTTTTTGGATATTACCATCGGGATACTGCGAGGTGGCGAGAGGAGGAGCCGGTGCGAGAATATGAGTAAAATTGGGACACATAAGTTTTGATGTCGTATACTCTTAGCTTCTTCTTCCTTCCGAAAACGTCCAAATATATCTTGGACATGTTGAGATCTTGAGACAATACATCACCTTCCTATCGCTTTTTAGCAGTTGCTTTTTACATTAATTGCAAGTGCTTCTAAGTCATTGAATTAATAATAATATTAAATATTAATATATTTCTTAGATTATATTGGTAGATGTATACATATTTTTTTAAAAAATAAAGCCTTATCATTACTCGTTTGCGATCACCTATTAATGAATGTCTTATCCTTACGCTTGTGAATGGTCACAAACCACTTGTAAGGATTTGGGTTACAACCCAATTTATAACACTAAAAAAAAAAAATGAGATGAAATAAATCAAAAAATTAATTTGTAACATAATAAATAATATAGTATTTACCAAATGCTTAGCGTACTTGATCAAAAAGATGACCCTTCGGTATTCTTAGATAGGCCAACACCGACACAACTCGTCCTTAACTTGTTGTTTTGAGATTTCTACTAAGATCGGGTCCGATACTAGGGAGTGACCCAATCCTAGTGTCATGCTTCCTACACCTCATGTTTAATATACATAGATCTATTATCCTAATTCTTTAGCTGGTTGAGCATGTCATTGTATTGCCTCCATGCCGGACTCTCTTGCACATCCTTAAACAATGCGTCGATAGTTGCATTCCATAAAAATTACTTCTTCCTAAGGAAAAAAAAATAATATTAGTACTTTTTATGTTAAATTAACACTTCAAATAAAATATAAGCAAATAATTAGTATATTAACCTAAACTCATTGAAGTAGAAGTCTTTCATCTCTGTGTAGATGGACTTTCATGTTGAGCTAGTGACGTCAAACGAGTTCTTTGAAAATTACAATGATTTTTATAAAGCACTTGCTTGATAGAACCAAAATGTCGAATAAAATAAATAAATAATAAATAAGTGAATTAATGATTCTATTATAATATATAAAAATATAAAACTAATTATTATTTATAAAACATATTACTTACTAGTTATTTATGATTCGGATGGCTCATCTATCATCAAATCTAATAGAATTTCTTGGAGTTGAAGAAACCATAGTGGGAACATTCACGATAAGAGGCACTCGTTGACGGAGGCATTATCGGAATGGATGCGGACATGCTTACACCACTATCAAATGTGCGACCCCGACTAATTGGACCGAGTAGTGCTAAGTACACCACCATTATCAATCACATGGTTAACATAAGAGCCACTAATATCGTGATCAGATTTGCTCAATTCATGAGGCATGACTAAAGAATAGCACATGAAACGAGTTTAACAAATAAATAATAATTCGACGGAAAATATATTATAAATTATTATGAATTAAAACAAACAAAATTCAACACATCTAAAATGTATAACAAACATAAAAAAATGCTTTCATTCATGATTTGACCTCATTATTTTGTTGCTATATTTTTGAGGCAACACAAAAATATTTAATTAATAATTTTCTTAAATATCTAATAAATTTTGACAAAACCTCTCCTATAAATTACACCTTTTTCAATTAATTAATATTCTAAATGATCACACAAATATTATGCACATTGAGACCAACAATTATCTCGGATACTTCATCAAAATTAAATCACAAACTCTTCCTCTCAATTTCATCATATAGTTTTAAACCAACCTTATTTATTCTCAATTCTATAAGGTCTCTAACCCTTCAATTTTGATACATAGTAGCATATCTCGACACACTTTAATAATTATATACAAAATAATTAAACTAATTAATTCTAATTATAACCAATTAAAAATAAAAATAAAAATAAATTAAAATTTTTTTTATAAATAAAGTTATAATTCAACCAATTTAACATAATTAACATAATTAATTAATTAACTAAGCATAAATCAAATTAACTTAATTAATTATAATTCTAACAAAATTAAATTTAAAATAACAATTAAATAGACTTAATTAACAAAAAATTTTCATTTAATTAAAAAAATTAGAATTAGTAGAAAAAATATTCTAATCTAACCAATTAAACAAATTTAACATAATTTATTAATCTATCTAAGCATAATTCAAATTGAATTAATTAATTCTAATTGTAAGCAAATTAAATCTAAAATAATAATTAAATTAAATTAATTAAAAAATTTACATTTAATTAACAAAATAATAATTAAGTAACAAATTTATTCTAATCCAACCAATTAAACATAATTTAGCTAATTAATTAATCAACTAAAGATAAATTAGACTAACTTAATTAATTCTATTTCTAACCAAATTAAATTCAAAATAACAATTAAATTAACTTAATTAACAAATGTTTTACAATTAATAAAATAAAAATTAATAAAATAAATTGAATTAATTATAAATTGATTATGATTAACTTTACATTATATTTAATTAACAAATTAACCTAATAATTAACAAATTAATCTAATAAATTAACAAAAATTAACAATGTAACAAATAAATGAACAAACAAACAATTAAATATATACATAATTATAAATCAAGCAATTATACTTAAAATTAACCTATAATTTTAGAAAAAATTACTAAGATTAATTAAGAAAATAAAAGAGATACAAAAAAAAAACTAACCTAATTCTAGTGAAATTAGCAGAAATAAAGGATGAAAACACTGGATTTTTTGAACAAAACGAGGTTTAAAAAGGTTATGGATTGGTAAGGAGTGGATTAGGGGAGTTAGGGGCGAGGCGAGTAGCCTTAGGGAGGAAGAGAAACGGGGAAAACGAGAGGGGAGGGATTCCGTTTGGGTTTAAAGAAATCCAAATCAACAACAAAAACGATCCCATCGCTAATCCATCACTATTTAGCGATT